GGGGGTGGGGAGAGAGGGAAAGTGGGTTTGGGGAAGCTCGCCGGAAGAGCTAAGGGTTCCTAGCAAACGGGGGAGGGGAGCGGGGCGGGGAGGAACCAGGAGAAACTGGGAGTCTGTTAACAGGGAGGGAAGTCTTTGGTGGGAGGTGGACATGGGCATGTGGGGGCCTGGCAAAGAGGCAGGACAAAGCAGGGAGGCTAGTCCTGGACCCTAATAATCCCTTCTCTTCTCTCCCAGGCGATGTGGCAGAATGTGGGGGGTCTACTGCGGGGGACATGTGGACAGCTGGGCCAGACCGTTGGTTTGCCTTGTGGGGCCCTGGCGCCTGGGCCCCACTGGTGGGTAAGAGGCTGGGGAAGGGGTCCCCCAGGGGAAGAGTATTAGGAAGGTTTCAGGAAGTAAAAGGACAAGGAGAGTCCAAAAGGGCCAGGCAGACTCCATACCCTTTCCTCTTTACCAAAGCTCATGTCTCTTGCAGCGGCCATGTGGGGGTTCTTGGGCCCAAAAGATTCATCAGGATGGGTCTGGGAGAGGCCTGGATGAGGAGGACATTCGCAGGGCACGGGAGGCCCGTCTCAAGAAGACACCCCGGCCCCAGGTATCATGGCCCCACACACCCAGCAATACCCGCTGAAGACTGCTGGCCCCCTGAGCTTGGGGAAGGGTGTGGTGGCAGATTGGTTGGACTTCTTGGGCACCGTGCTCAGAACTTCTCCCCATTTCCCAGCTGAGTGACAGTTCTCGAGAACGCAAGGTGCCTGCCTCCCGCATCAGCCGCTTGGCCAACTTTGGGGGTAGGTGTGACTTTGAGGGATCTAGGTGTGACCTTGATCAGAGGGGGCTACGTTTACAGAATGAAGTGAGGGAGAGAATGAATCAGACAGAGAGGAGGGAGAGACAGAGGGATGAAGGCAAAGGCCTGCAATGCCAAGAGAAAGAGAGAGGAAATAAATGAGAACATTTATCTGAGAAGCTGTAATGTGCTCTTGCTGCACTGAATCAGTGAGTGTTTATTTCCATTCTGTAGATGAGGAAATTGAGACTAAGAGAGCTGAGGTAACTTCACTCAGGGTTATGCAGCCAGATTGTTCAAACTTCAGGTCACCACCTGCATGAAATAATTGAGTGGGTTACAACTAGCAAATAAAAAGAATAGAAAATATGAGTGCACCTCTAGAACTTTTGATTCAGGAAACATATATATGTTGATCTATGCCAGGGGAAATTTTGATTCAGGAAACATATATATGTTGATCTATGCAAGTTATAAATGCCTTCTTTACTATGGGTCATGGTTCAAGTTTTAACGATGCAGATTCAGGCTGGGCACGTTGGCCCATGCCTGTAATCCCAGTACTTTGGGAGACTAAGGCAAGAGGATTGATTGAGCCCAGGAGTTCAGGACCAGCCTGGGCAACATGGCAAGACCTTGTATCTACAATAAATAAAAAAAATTGTCCATGCATGGTGGCGCATTTGTGCCTGTAATCCCAGCTACTTGGGAGGCTGAGGCAGAAGGATCTCCTGAGCCCCAGAGGTTGAGGTTGTGGTGAACTGTGATTGTGCCACTGCATTCTAGCCTCAGTGACAGAATGAGAGCACAGCTCTAAATAAATAAATATATAAACATATAAATAAACACACAGAGATTCATAGTCTAAAGAGGCAGTTGGTGCACTGATTAGAGCTTTGGCACCAGGCTGCCTAGGACTCAAGGGGTGACTCTGCTGTGTCCTCATTTTATGACTTTGGGCAAGTTACTTAACTTCTCTGAATCTCAATTTCCTTTTCTGTAAAATGGAAATTTTTCTGTAAAACATACTTAATGAAGTTGAGGACAAGATGAGAATGCATATAAAGCACTGGGAACAATTTCTACTCAGAAAATGCAGCCAGGTGCAGTGGCTCACGCCTGTAATCCCAGCACTTTGGAAGGCTGAGGTAGGAGAATTGCCTGAGGCCAGGAGTTCGATACCAGCCTGGCAACATAGTGAGACACTGTCTCAATAAAATAAAACAAAGTAGAAAATGTCAACTACAATAACTTACAGAGATAGTGACAGTAAAAGATTGACAGACCCAACATGCCTGTGGGAATAAGGAGCGAGAGGAAGCAGAGGAAATCAGAGATAGACAGATAACATCAAAAGGAGGAACAGAGAGAAGGGGCCCTAGACAGATGTGCCACCTGGAGAGAAGGGGAGAGATGGAGAAATACCTGACTTAGAAAAGCAGAGACAATCATAAAGAAGAGAAGGTGGACAGAGAAACAGGTGTCACTAGACAACAGCAAGACCTGGGGTGATTGTTTCTGGGCCTTCTTTGGCCACACATGAGAATGATCTGGGATTTTTTTTTTCTTTTTTCTTTTTTCTTTTTTTTTTTTTAAGTTGGAGTCTTACTCTGTCACCCAGGCTAGAGTGCAGTGACACGTTCACGGTCACCGCAGCTTTGACCTGCTGGGCTCAGGTAATCCTTCCACTTCAACCTTCCAAATAGCTAGAACTACAAGCGCATGCCACCATGCCCGGCTAATTTTTTGATCTATTATAGAGACGAGGTCTTGCCAAGTTGCCCAGGCTGGTCTCGAACCCCTGGTCTCAGGCACTTCTCTCATCTCAGCCTCCCAAAGTGCTGGAATTACAGCTTGAGCTATCACGCCCAGCTGGGATGCTTTTAAAACGTACAAATTCCTAGGCCTCATCTCTGTCCAGGTTAATCAGAATATTGGGGGAGGGGTCTGGGCATGGTATTTACCAAAGGTCCTCTGGTGACTGTAATGTGCTGCCAGGGCTGAGAGCTGCCGGGAGGGAGACAGAGGCCTGGAGTGAGGGATCAAGAAAGAGGCAGCCTCACTCTGAAGGAAATCCCGAGCAAAATGAAAGAGACTGCTCTGGAGACAGAGGGATGCAGAGGGTTGGCAGCCAAAAGTTGGGAGGCAAGCATGATTACAGAAAGAGGACGGGAAAGAGGGTGGAGGGGGGCACCCAGGCAAGCGGGTCCTCAGATTCTTCTCGCTCTCCAGGACTTGCTGTGGGCTTGGGGCTGGGAGCACTGGCAGAGGTGGCCAAGAAGTCCCTGCCAGGAGGACGGCTGCAGTCAGGTGAGTGAGTCGCACTGCCTAGGTTCAGATCCTGCCCTTCCTGTGTGAGCTAGGGCAAAGTGGCTTCACCCCTCTGAGCCCCCGTTTCCTCATCTGGAAGATGGAGGTGATGATAATATACCCTCCTCTTGGGGGCATTGTGAAGTGCTCAGAACAGGGCTAAACCACTGTCAGAGTCTTGATTAGTAGAAGCATATTATCTGAGAAAAAATGGAAGTCATTGGGAGTCCCTAACTCTGAGCATGAGTGGAAAGCTGAAAATAGAAGTGCCCGTGGGGGTCTGTATACAACAGAGATGGAATTAGACATGTAGCGTTTGTGGGGAAGATTCCTCAAGTCAAGGTCTTGAAACAAAAGTGGGGGTGGACATTCTAGATTAAAAAGAGACGAGAGAGACTTTAATTGACAACTGGAGTGTGTGAACTGTGATTGGATGTCAGTTTGAAAAAAATAACTATAAAACACTCTTCAGGGACAAATAGAAAATCTGAATATGTACTGGATAGTAGGTATTAATTTCCTGACACGCAGTTATGGTACTGTGATTGTGTAGTGAAATATCCTTATTCTTAGCAAAGCCTAAATGCAACTACATGCAAGTGGGTCAGCAAAAAATAATAATAGCAAGTGTGTGGGTACACACAAGGATAGCGCAGATGAAGTGGAATGTTACAATGCTGAATTGAGGTGGAGGGTGTACGGGGGTTCATATTAGGCATGCAACTTTTCTGTCTGGATTTTTTCCAAAAGAAAATGTCAAAGGGGGCTGGGCATGGTAGGTCATGCCTGTAATCCTAGGACTTTGGGAGGCTAAGGTAGGAGGATCGATTGAGGCCAGGAGTTTGGGACTAGCCTGGGCAACATAGGGAGCCCTTATCTCTACAAAAAAATGTTTTTTAAAAAAATTATCTGGGTGATAAATATAACCCACATAAACAAGTTCTTTGGGATCCTTGTTCTATTTTTAACAGCCTTACTGAGAAAAATTCATGAACCATGCAATTCACCCATTTACAGTATACAATTTAGTGTTTTTTAGTATATTCACAGAGTTGTGCAGACATTACCATAATCAATTTTAGGACATTTTCATCATCCCTAAAATAATTCAGGAGTTAGAGGCTGCAGTGAGCTATGATCACACCACTGCACTCCAACCTGGGTGACAGAACAAGACCCTGTCTCTAAGCAGAAAAAATTGCTCGTAGGTGGAGGATTTGGGTAAGGTCAATCTGAGTGTACACCCTGCTCTGCCACTTCTTGGCTGTGTGACCCAGGACCAAGTGCTGTACCTCTCTGAGTTTCTTGCTTTCTCTCCTTGAAAATTAAAGCAAACTGGGTGTGATGGCTCACACCTGTAACCCCACCACTTTGGGAGGCAGAGGTGAGAGGATTGTCTGAGCCCACAGGTTCGAGACCAGCCTGGGCAACTTAGTGAAACCTCATCTCTACAATAACTCAAAAAATTAGCCAGGCATGGTGGCACACACTTGTGGTTCCAGCTACTTGAAAGACTGGGGTAGAAGGATCACCTGAGCCCAGCAGGTTGAGGCTGCAGTGGCTGTGAGCATGCCACTGCACTCCAACTTGGGCATCAGAGTAAGAGTCTGACTCAAAAAAGAAAAGAAAAGAAAAGAAAATTAAAGCATTGATAGTTCATATTTCTTGGGGGTAACTGGGCATTTAGCCAGAGAATCACAAAGACACTTAGGATTCTGCCTGGAAAAAAGTGAACACTCAATAAAATTCAATACAATTTCTATAAAATAGTTTATAGCTTAAGAAATGCTTTGTTGAAGTATAATGTAATTTGCATATAATACCATGCATACATATCTATGAGTGTATAGCTTGGTGCATTTTCACAAAGCAGGTGCATCTCCACCCAGATCAAGAAACCCTAGGCTGGGTACAGTGGCTCACACCTGTAATCCCAGTACTTTGGGAGACTGAGTTCGAGACCAAGCTGGGCAACATGACGAGACTTTTTCTCTACAGTAAAAAAAAATCAGCCAGGTGTGGCGATGTGTGCCTGTGGTCCCAGCTACTTGGAAGGCTGATGTGGAAGGATTGCCTGAGCCCAGCAGGTTGAGGCTGTGGTAGTTGTGATCGTGCCACTACACTCCAGCCTGGGCAACAGAGTGAGACTCCAACTCAAAAAGAAAAAAAAAAACCTCCTTGGTTTCAGGATCCCCACACACCCTCAAAACTGGTGAATGAGCCAGGTGCAGTGGCTCACGCCTTTAATCCCAGTACTTTGGGAGGCTGAGGCAAGAGGATTGCCTGAGTCTAGGGGTTCAAGACCAGCCTGGGCAACATGGCGAGACCTCATCTCTACATTAAAAAAAAAATTAGCCAGGCATGGTGGTGCACACCTATAGTTCCAACTACTTGGAAGACTGAGGAGGAAGGATCGCCTGAACCCAGCAGGCCGAGGCTGTGGTGACCATGAGTGTGCCACTGCACTCCAGCCTGGGCTACAGAGTGAGATTCCGATTAAAAAAAAAAAAATTGGTGAATGGATGCATAAAGCGTGGTCTGTGCATACAATGGAATATTACTGAGCCATAAAAAGGAATGAAGTACTGATATATATTATAACATGGTTGAATCTTGAAAACATTATGCTATACTTACCTGGCAGGGGACATACCATGATCATGAAGGTGGTTTTCCGAGGGCGAGGCTCACCTATTGCACTCCGGGTGTGCTGACCCCTGTGATTTCCCCAAATGTGGGAAACTTGATTGCATAATTTGTGGTAGTGGGCAACTGGGTTCACGCTCTCCCCTGGCTTAAATTGTTTAAGAAAAGAATCATTTTTCTTGTTTATGCCCTTGTTTGCATCGTTCTGGTTTTCTTTTATTTGGTTATCTTTTTTTATTCATCTGAGCTGTGGGGTGTTTACAGCTAAATCTCTACGTAGCTGGTCTCTGTCTGTGTACGTGCGTTTTTGTTTTTCGTTTCACACACACACACACACACACACACACACACACACACACACACACACATAAAAAGAAAACATTACTCTAACTGCAAGTAGCCACACACAAAAATGCCACATAATTGGATGATTCCATTAATATGAAATATATAGAATAGGGGAATCTGTAGAGACAGAAAACAGATTAGTAGTTGTCAAGGACTGGGGAGATTAGGAGAGATGGGGAGTGGCTGCTGATGGGTACAGGGCTTCTTTTTTGGGGTGATAAAAAAGTCCTAAAATTAATTGTGGTGATTGTACAACTCTGTAAATAACTAAAATCCATTGGTTTGCATAGTTTAAATGTGTGCATTATATGGTACATGAATTATTTCTTAATAAGGCTGTTAAAAATAGAATGAAGATTCCAAAGAGCTTGTTTATGTGGGTCATATTTATCAATGTTTACTGTATTAGAGATTAAAACTAAGAAATTTTTAAGACAGAAGCATACACATGTATGCATTTACTCAGCTGTCAGAGTGATGATGTCTTCACATGTCCTGGAGCCACTGAATGTTCTTGGGAGCATGAGAGTGGAAAAGAGAAAATAACATCTTAGTATTATGATGAAAGCAGTTTGATCTCACAGTCTCCCTGCCTCTCCCAGGAGTCCCTGGACTACATTTTGAGAATATGGTCAGGGCTCTCTGGAAGCGTCTTTCGTGCCCCCACCTGGTCACCCCCCTCATCAAGTGACCACTGTCTTAGCTTCTGACACCCTCAATTCTTTTGTTTTAATTTTAGAATCATGGGGTATGGTTGAGGATTTGTTACGTAAGTGTATCGCATGAAGGCAAGGCTTGGGCTTCTGACGAGTCCCCCAGTAGTGAGCATGGTATTCAGTGGATGGTTTTGTATCCCTTATCCCTCTCCCTCCTTCCCTCCCTCCTTTAGCAGTACACTGTGTCTGTTCCTGTCCTTGTTCCCGCTGACACCCTCCATGAGTTTGGCTTGGTTTTGCTCCCTCCATAAATGTAATCGGACTCCATTCTCTTACGCATCAGGGTCTTTCACTCAGCGCCACGTTTGTGAGACACGTCCATGTTGTCGTGTTTAGCGGTAGCTTGTTACTCAGTGCTGTAGCCGTAACTCTGAATCTCCTACAGTTTGTTTATTCATTTACGGTTGTTTGGGGTGTTCTAGTTTCGGACTGTTGTGAGTAAGTGCTGCTGTGAACATCCCTGTACCATCTGTTGATGGACACATTTATGCATTTCTCTGTGTATACACCTAGGAGAGGAATTGGGTTTATATGCTGTACTGGAAACTTCCCGTTTTCCAAAGGTGTGTGTCAAGACACTGTTGTCAGTAGTGTTTGAATTCAAGTTGCTTCCCATCTTTGTCAACTCTTGATATTGTCTTTCTCATTTTAGCCATTCTGGTTGGTGTGCTGTGACTATTTTTGCAGTTGAAATACTAATTCTCATTCTCTCCTCCCCAGAGGGTGGCTCCCCGCTGGGCTCCAGCCCTTTCCTGTCAGAGGCCAACGCCGAGCGGATTGTGCAGACCTTATGTACAGTTCGGGGGGCCGCCCTCAAGGTTGGCCAGATGCTCAGCATCCAGGGTACAGCATGGCTTTCGACTCCTGACCCCTGACCTCACTTCCACCCGCCCCACCCACAAACAAACCCGGACTTCAGATACCCCAAGGGGTCCCTCTTTGCCTCTTCCCTTACTTTTCCCCTCGCCCCACTGTCTCCCAAGACAACAGCTTCATCAGCCCCCAGCTGCAGCGCATCTTTGAGCGGGTCCGCCAGAGCGCTGACTTCATGCCCCGCTGGCAGATGCTGGTGAGTGCCTGCGGGGGGAGTGCTGGGGGGGGAGGTCTGCTCTCACCCCACCAAGCCTGCCTAGTTCTCCTGGCATCATTACTCTGCTCCCTGCCTGACTCTGAGCCTCAATTTTCCCACCTGCAAAATGGGGATCACCAAAGTAGACACCTCATAGTGTTGCTGTGATGACTAAATTAGAGGATAGTACAAAATGCCTGGTCCAGTCCCAGGCACAGACTGCGTTTTGTCAAGGCAGCAAAGCACAGTAATTAGGGGCCACACTTTGCAGGTTCAAACCCTATGTCTGCCACTCGCTACCTGTGTGGTCTCAGGCATGCAGCTTGACCACTCTGTGCCTCAGTTACCTCATTTGGGAAGTGGTGACAGTGATAGCCACACTTATGACAGGGTCATGTAAATTCATCTACGCAGAGCACTTAGGACAGCCCTCTTGGGGGGCATAGTGTGTCAGTTTTAGCTGTGATTACTGTTTTTTAATTAAAGGAGATTGTACCTGTAAATAGGTTGGCACGGCGCCTGGCACCAAGTAAGTGCCCCAGACATGAGCTGGGTTAGGGCATGGAATCCAGAAGCCAGTCACCTGCCTGCCTTCCCATCTCTGTTCTGCTCACTAGCCATGTGGTCCCAGGCAGTTTCTGCCTCTCTGTGAGCCATTCTGAATGGGACCCGGCCCACAGGAAGCCCTCTATAAACTTCAGCTCTTCTTTATCACATTAACTTCCAGTTAATAACACAATACTGGAGTAGATAAAGGACTCCTGTCAGTCGTAACTATAAATAGAGGCTGGGTGTGGTAGCCCACACTTGTAATCCTGGCACTTGAGCCCAGGAGGTCAAAGCTGCAGTGCGCCTTGACTGTGGCACTGCACTCCAGCCTGGGCACTGAGTGAGACCCTGTCTCTAAAGTAAATAAATAAATAAACTATATATTATAGCAATCCCCACAACAGCTTGCACAACCTGGGGAGTACAGGCTGAGAAGACACAAGCTAGGCTGGGCATCCCAGTCTGCCAGTGCCTAGCTGGTCACCTTGGGCAAGGGACTTCTCTCTGAGCCTCAGTTTCACTGTCTATAAAATGAGGTGGCAGCCAAGAGCTGGGCACAGAGTGAGTACTGGGGTTATTTATTTTATTTTAATTTTTTTGAGTCAGAGTCTCACTCTGTTGCCCAGGCTGGAGTGCAATGGCACACTCACGGCCACTGTAGCCTCCACCTACTGGGGTCAGGTGATCATTCCTCCTCAGCCTTCCAAGTAGCTGGAACTACAGGTGTGTGCCACCACATCCAGCTAATTTTTTTATTTATTGTAGAGACAAGGTCTCACCAAATAGCCCAGGCTGGTCTTGAATTCCTGGGCTAAAGCAATGCTCTCGCCTCTGCCTCCCAAAGTGCTAGGATTACAGTTGTAAGCCACTGCACCCAACTGAGTGCTGGGGTTATTAACATGTAAAGCATTCAGCATGGGGAATGAACCCAGCTGCCTGCAGCCATGATGGTGATTGTTATGACCGCTCCCCAGAGAGTTCTCGAAGAGGAGCTTGGCAGGAACTGGCAGGCCAAGGTGGCCTCTTTGGAGGAGGTGCCCTTTGCTGCTGCCTCAATCGGGCAGGTGCACCAGGGCATGCTGAGGGATGGGACGGAGGTGGCCGTGAAGATCCAGGTGAGAAGGGAGGCTGGGAAGGTGGGGTGGGCGCCCTGCTGGCTAGATGAGTGACTCTCTCACTCTTCCCATTACCAGTACCCGGGCGTTGCCCAGAGCATCCAGAGCGATGTCCAGAACCTGCTGGCGGTGCTCAAGCTGAGTGCAGCACTGCCTGAGGGTGAGGCTCTAACTCCTCCCTGACCCAGGAGGGATGCTTGTAGAGAGAAAGTGGGCTGGACAGAGGGAACCCAGGGCAGGGGGTGCTAATGTCATGTGTGTGAGACAGAAAGGACACTTGACGCAAGAGGAGTCCAGAGGGCATGTGTGTGCGTGAGGAAAAGTCTTACAGAGACAGAAGCCCAGGCCGATATCCAGAAACTGACTTGCAGAGGATGTACAGTGCAGGGAGAGGGACTGTGGGTGTGAAAAACAGCCACAGACACAGAAAGGGGGAGTCCGCCGGGCAGCATGTTTGTGTCAGAGCATGTGCGACGGTGTCTGAAGAGGAGGAGTGGGTTGTGTTGGTGGAGTGGATGAAGAGCTGCCAGGAACTAGAAAGGCTGCTGAAAAGGCCTCGTGTGAAGGACAGAGGGAGAGCATGTGGATGGATGTGCGATACGGGTAAAGGCCTGGAGCAAGAGGGATGGGGGACGGCCAGACAGACCCAGACAGGAATGGCGCGAGAGGGTGTCTGTGAGCAGAGCCCGGGGACTCCTTCCCTGGCTGACATGGCCACCCCCTCAGGCCTGTTTGCCGAGCAGAGCCTGCAGGCCTTGCAGCAGGAGCTGGCTTGGGAGTGTGACTACCGTCGCGAGGCAGCTTGTGCCCAGAACTTCAGGTGAGCTATGCCCCTGCCAGACCTCAGGGACCCCTCTCTCCAGCTTCCCTCCTTCCTTCCCTCCCAGGCTGAGTGGGAAATGGATGGCCCTCTAGCCTCTGGGGTGGGGCTGGCAAACTCTTTTTGTTTCTTTCAATCATTTGTTCCATCTATCCAGTCACTCATTGCTTCACTCACCATCCCCCATCCTCAACCCCCCCTCCTCTGGGAGCTCAGGCAGGTCACTTCTCTCTGCATGTCAGCTTTTTCCTCTGTCAGATGGCACATGTGTCCAAGACAGTGTTACATCTACTGGACTGACAAAGATTAAGCAGTCTGACAGCTCAGGAGTTGCAGAGAAGGATCCAGAACATCTCTTATGCACTGTAGGCAGGAGGGCAGCTTGACATCATCAAATAAGCCTTTATATTTACCTATCCTGCAACCAACAATTACCGTCCTTGCCGAATACTCTAGGGGCTCTTATGCCAGGATACACACCATCAAATTTTTCTAGAATACTCAGAGCAGTATTGTTTTCAACAGCCCAATGTTGGAAATAACCCAAATCTGTCAAATTTATCCAGCAGGGTGGGTAAATAAGATATGGTGTATTCATCAGCAAAGTATTTATTTTATTTTACTTTATCTGAGTTGGAGTCTCACTCTTTCGCCCAGGCTGGAGTGCAATGGCACATTCACAGCCACTGCAGCCTAGACTTCCACCTCAGTCCTCCAAGTAGCCATGCGCCACCATGCCCAGCTAATTGTTTTATTTATTGTAGAGACGCAGTCTCGCCATGTTGCCCGCACTGATCTCGAACCTATGGGCTCAGGCAATCCTCTCACCTCAGCCTCCCAAAGTGATGGGATTATAGGCATGAGCCACTGTGCCCAGCTCATCAGCAGAATATTATAGAGCAGTGAAAATGAGTGAGCTACTGCTGCTGGAACAGTGAGAGAAATGTCAGTACGAGGCAGTGGTTAGAGGCGTGCGCGTGGACTCAGATATGGGATCAGATCCTGGATCAGCCCTTAACAGACTGTGGCCTGGATCTGTACTGTGGCCTCAGGAGAGTGTCCCCTTCTGTTGAATGAGGATAAAAAGGAATGGTGCTGATTAAATGCTCAGCACCGGGCCTGGCTCGGGAGGAGTGGTCCAGACATCAGAGATCTTATAAACAGGGACAAAAATACAAACCCCGAGGCAGGACCTTGGGGAGAAGAGCACAAAGCAGGAGGAGGGGCCAAGCGCTCTGTGTGGGATCTGGGGAGACCCTCCCCACGAATTTCCCAGTGCCCATAGAATAACCACCTCTCTACTCCCCTGCTTCCCCTCACTCTCCTCCCACAGAACCTTAACTTGACCTCACATGTGTTCTTTGCTCCCAGATCTTACAATGACACACTTATCTCAGGCTGTGATTGGTCTGTTTGTTAGAGTGTGGTCTCTGGGGTTGAAGGGGTGGGTCTGAGACCCATGAGTATTACTGTAGACTGCACAAATTTTTACATCAGTGATGATTTTGGAGATGAGTTCATAAATCGATGAAAAAAGGACCACACAGGCTAAATGCACTGAACTCATGTTGTGACAACCAGAAGTCATGGAAAGGTTTTGGGTAGGGAAGGGGTAACTGGGTTTCCAGCAGCACCCAGTTTAGGGGCAGGTACACAGCAGGCACCTCAGAGATATTTACTAAATATCAGTCTAGCCAGGTAGTAGTCACCAGCCAGGGCACACAGAGGCCAGAGAAGGGTAGGACATAGGTTGTTCACGGAGGGCTTCTGAGAGGAGGCGAGGAGGCCTTGAGCTGGGTCCCAGGGGCCTGAAACAGCCCTGTTTTTGCCTTCCCGCCTTCAGACAGCTGTTGGCAGGTGACCCCTTCTTCCGGGTGCCAGCTGTGGTTAAGGAGCTGTGCACGACGCGGGTACTGGGCATGGAACTAGCTGGAGGGGTTCCTCTGGACCAGTGCCGGGGCCTGAGCCAGGACACCCGGAACCAGGTACGTGGTCTTGTGGCACAGTTGAGAGGGCACTGCCCATGGCAGGGCTGGTGGGGAGGGCCCTACAGGGGAAAGTCACATTGAATGTCCTCCCCACCCCAGATCTGCTTCCAGCTGCTGAGGCTGTGTCTGCAGGAGCTGTTCGAGTTCAGATTCATGCAGACAGACCCCAACTGGGCCAACTTTCTGTATGACGCTTCCAGCCACCAGGTTGGTTCTTTGTAATGTGTGTCAGGGTACATTCCCTGCTGTAACAACAATCCTTGATATTTCAGTAGCTCAACACAACAGCAGCTTATTACTCAACAGGCTGGATGGCCCATCTCCAGGTGGTGACTAAGGGCCCCAGGCTCCTTCCCTTTTGTGGTTGTATTCTTGCCTAAAGCTCTGCTTTGCTGTCCTTCCAACGGAGAGGGAGAGAGAGGTTGCTCCCCAACTGCTTTGACCAGAATGTCACATCATTCTCTTTACCACTTCATTGATGAAAATTAGTCATGTGACCTGTCTAGGTGCAAGGGATATTGGAAAATGGAGTCTGGCTAGACAGTCATTTCCCAGTGGCAATGTGACAGTATGGAAGAGGAAGCACAACTTTTGGAAGGCAGTTAGCCATCACTACTTAGAACACTCCATGGCCAGGCGTGGTGGCTCATACCTGTGATCCTAGCACTTTTAGAGGCCAAGGTGCAAGACCAGAGTCCAAGAGTTCAAGACCAGCCTGGGCAGCACGCAAGACCTCGTCTCTACAAAAAGAAAAGAACATATTATGCACCCACTCTGTCACTTGACAATGATGACAAGGCATTCCTGACCCTTGCCTTCTTAGAGTTCCCAGTAGGGGAACCCGTCACCATACAATGATGACCTAGAGTAGTTAGTACCATGATGAAGAAGCATAGGCCAGAGTGGTCAGTACAAGGATAGGAGAGGCACAGGGAGAAGGGTCTGGACAGGGACAGGAGAGGCACAAGGAGAGGGGTCAAAGCCGGGATGGGGGAGGCACAGAGAGAGGGGTCAAGTGTGGGGTGGGGGAGACACAGGGAAAGGGGTCAGGGCTGGGGTGGGGGAGGCACCAGGAGAGGGGTCAAGGCAGGGTGGGGAGGTACAGTGAGCCGTGGGATCTCAGGGAAAGTACCTGACCCTGTCTGGAATAAGTGGAGATCAAGGAAGGCTTCTTGTAGGAGGTGCCATGAAAGCTGAGAACAGAAGGAAAAGGAGACAGCCATCCAGAGAGCAGAGTATTCCCAGGGCACATGGGGTACAAAGGCCTGGAAGGGAAGTTTGACCTCCAGACTTTAGCTTGTGTGGACACATCTTTGTGTGGCTCTCCAAAGTGGTCTGTCCCTATTTTGTCCTCAGAGGGATTTTTTGGAAACATATCTGTTCAAGATATCCCTTCCGCAGCCCCCCAGCACCCTCAGAATCAAGTCTGAACCCTTTGCCGACCTCCTGCGGCCCCACCCAGGCTCCAGCCTTAGTCCCTCACCCCACTCCTGCATGCACACACCCTATGTCTCCCTGTGGGCTTATAACCCCAGGAAGGAGTTTATCCAACTCCAAGTGACTTGAGTCCTGACCTCACTGTTTTGGGTTCAAACAGCACTTTTTGTTTTGGTGGAATAGAATAGAAAATGTCCATGTGCCTCAGATGGTAGGAATACTTTTTTTTTTTTTTGAGTCCGAGTCTCACTCTTTCGCCCAGGCTGGAGTACATTGGCATGATCACAGCCACCGCAGCCTCGACCTGCTGAGCTTAGGCGATCCTCTGCCTCAGCCTTCTGAGTAACTTGAACTACAGGCACACGCTACCACACCTGGCTAATTTTTTGATTTATTGTAGAATGAGGTCTTGCCAAGTTGCCCAGGCTGGTCTTGAACCTGTGGGCTTAGGCAGTCCTCTTGCCTCTGTCCCCCAAAGTGCTAGGATTACAGGCATGAGCCACTGTGTCCAGTTTGGGATACTAATTCTTTTGAGACACTTTTGTTTGATGTTTCCGTTTCTGTGTCCAGCTGCACAGGTACCCAGTCTGCACTGCATTTGTTACTGGAAGTTGTGTTCAGTTGTTCAAACGGCACTGCTCTAGAGATACTCTTGAACGTGTTCATTGAGCACAAAAGTCAGAAATAATTCACAATGACAAACATATGGAGAAAAAAGGAAGCAGCCGCAGTGCCCTTCGCCCAGACAGGTGCACTGTGATATACACATGCAGTGTCGTCCCTACACAGCAGGGGAGAATGAAGGATGAGCTGGAGCCATACAGGGCAATGGGGACAACTCTCCAAACCATGTCAGGCAAAAAGCACAAGTTGCAGGAAAAGCCGACTACAGGAGGTTTTCAAATATGCATATTATTAATGTTTAGGGGTACACACATATATAGAAAGCAGAAATGTATGCATGGGGATTTCAGGAAATAACAATTTTATAATAATAATTTCAGGAAAGTAGTGACCCTGAGGACACGGAAGAGGTGGGATCAGGCGGGATACATCGGAGGCTCCACCTGGATGGATATTTTATATTTTATGTTGGGTGGTAGGATTTGTGGGTATTCGTTTTACTTTTCTATATATTTTATTATTCTCTGGTTTTTTTTTTCTGTGTGCCTAAAATTTGTTCCTTTTTTTTTGAGTCAGAGTTTCACTCTGTCTCCCAGGCTGGAGTGAAGTGGCAGGTACGCACCACGACACCCAGATAATTTATTTTTTGTAGAAAGGCAGTCTCACAGTATTGTTTTGGCTGGTCTTGAATTCCTAGGCTCAAGCAATCCTCTCACCTCAGCCTCCCAAAGTGCTGGGATTACAGGTGTTAGTCGCCACACCCGGCCTAAAATTTGTTCTTAAATAAACAATTAGGACAAAAAAAAAAAATCCAGATACCTTCAGCTGTCCAGTGAGGGTAGATTGGAAGTGTGGAGACTAGAGGCCAGGAGCCCAGGGAGTCAGCCAGGCAGGGTCTCTGGCAGGGGTGGGCAGAATTGTGGAGAGGGAGAGATGGATCCTGGCTGCCCCAATAAACAACAGGGATGTCAATAGGATCCCAGCATTCCTTTCACCGTTCCTCCTTCTCAGGTGACCCTACTGGACTTTGGTGCAAGCCGGGAATTTGGGACAGAGTTCACAGACCATTACATTGAGGTGAGTCCCTCTGATCCTGTGGTCTCAAAAGGGCAGAGGCCCAAGCCATATACTGAGGCAGAGGGGTAAAAGGAGAAGTACAGTATCTGGGATTAAGAAGTAATAAATAATAATATTAGTAGCAGCTAACAAACACCAAGCACTGCATATTATGTCAGACCATTTTAAGTACTTTACATGTGTAACCAATTTAAACCATCCAGCAACTCTGTGAGGTAGGGGCCATTTTCAGCCCCATTTTACAGATGAAGTAACTGGGCCTTAGAGAGGTTAAGTCACTTTGCCTAAAATTACAGCAGACTTGAGATTCAAACTCAGGTTGTTTGGGTCCAAGCCCATGCTCCTAATGGCTGCCTAGACCCCTACTAAGAGAACAGCCCACCGTGGCCATCTTGTCCCCTCCCCAGCCCCAGCCTACCCAGGGCCTTGGCATCCAGCCTATACTCACATACCTCCCCAGGGCAGCTCTGTTCGCAGGAAGTGCTTCTTCACCTACTCTGCCCATCCCTCCCACCCACCAGGTCTATTTGTCTTAGGCTGCAGAGAATATACCATCTCATCCATATGTTGAGATGGGAATTCGACCTGGGTGTCTAAATCATTTAGTCATCATTTCAAACATTTGCTGACATCTCCTCTGTGCCCAGCTCTATTCTAGGTGATACTGGGGACACACCGGTGACCCAGGTCCAGCCCAGGTCCTTGCCTTCACAGAGCTCAGTCCAATGGAGGGGACAGATGGTGAGGATCTAGAGTGGACAGGACTGGAATGGGGGAAGCACAGGAGAATGTGAGAGCCTGGAGGAGGAGCCTGACTCAGCCTGAAAGAGATGTCAGAGTTGAGTTGAGATCTGAGGGATGAGAAGGACCAATTAAGGAAAGGTTAGGAAGGTATTCTAGAGAGACAACATTTGCAAAGGCCAAGAGTGTCAAGGGATATTCCCACTAGAGCAGTGCTTCTCAAACTTTAATGCACATGTAAACCCCAGTGATTTGTGGAAGCACAGATCCTGGTCTGGAGTTATATATAAGATACTGCATATCTTTTTTTTTTTTTCTTCGAGTCAGAATCTCACTCTGTCGCTCAGGCTGGAGTGCAGTGGCACGCTCACGGTCACCGCAGCCTTGACCGTGGCTCAGGCGATCCTTCTGCCTCAGTCTTCCAAGTAGCTGGAACTACAGGCATGTGCCACCACACCCAGCTAATTTTTCTTGATTTATTGTAGAGATGAAGTCTCACCAAGTTGTCCAGGCTGGTCTCGAACCTGTGGGCTAAGGCAATCCTCTCACCTCGGCCTCCCAAAGTGCTGGG